AGCTACTAGTAGCTATAGAAGCTATTTGGTTGGAGGCCATTGCTATTGGTAACAAGAAGCTACTATGTATAGAAGCTATTAGGTTGGAGGCCATGACTCCTAGTAACAAGAAGCTACTATATAGTAGCTATAGAAGCTATGAGGTTGGAGGCCATTGCTATTGGTAACAAGCAGCTACTAGTAGCTATAGAAGGTTGGAGGCCATTGCTATTGGTAACAAGAAGCTACTATGTATAGAAGCTATTAGGTTGGAGGCCATGACTCCTAGTAACAAGAAGCTACTATATAGTAGCTATAGAAGCTATGAGGTTGGAGGCCATGCCTACTAGTAACAAGAAGCTACTATATAGTAGCTATAGAAGCTATGAGGTTGGAGGCCACCTATTTGGCGAAACTTCCACCCAGTTTTGACCATTTCTTCACCGCCACCGGGGGAGACCGGTTCGGGGGCGAATCTGAGGTAGAGGTCTTCAGTGCACTCTCAGCAAAATGATGGTACCCCGTCCCTCCAATAGACCCCTGATGTGTTCGAACTCATTGGTAAGTGATATATCGAAGCGACATACCTGGAGTCGACCCGTTCATGTCACATGTTGTAAGGTACTTGAAGTCGAGTCCAGTTAGATAGTGTATGGATCCACATACCTTTATAGAAACTAGTTGGAACCTCCAAACTCACATGATATCTCCCCGGCCTTCTCTGAGGGGAAGTGGATCTCCAGGGAACACGGTCGTACGATTGCTGGAGGCTGGTGCAAGATTGGATAAGTATACAGGAATTGGACGAGGCACATGCGGAAGGCTCTCTGCCATGCGAAGACTGCGATGAAAACCTGGGCGAAGGCAGTGAAGGTGAACGTCCACAAGAGGATGACTCTTGACGTTCTCCTTTGAAATAAAGCTTCACAAGACTCCAACAATACGCATCCTCTTGCACTTTCCCGCAGAGCTGTTTCCTCTTAGAGATTCTACCTACGTACCTACAGTACTTGAAGTAACAACCGTCGTTCAACTCGTGAAATAAAGTCTCGCTGAAACAGCTGGATGCCACCGAACCACCACAAAGAGCAGGGTGCCATAGGTCAGGAGAGCACCCAAGATCAAACCTCAGGTTTGGGATGTCCCTTGTGTTGACAGTCGATGACTCAAACCTCTAAAACATCTGTTTCGTCGATCTTGAGCCTTTCTGAAGATGAGGACTTCCTCTGCGACTCTACGACTGATTCGTACTTGCAATGGTCGTCTGATTCGTCTGGCACTTGGGAACATGAACTTGTTCGACACCGCTGGGACAGTCGAGCTCGGAGCGACTCCCACACAGGACGGACCCGAGCGAGGCTAAACCCTGGTCCGACCGACCGTTTAACATACTTCATGGGGGGTGGCATATGAAACCATGCTACATTTATTTGGGCGGTTGTTTCGAGGTCAACCTACTTGCTGGGACTAACATGCAAATGGAAAATGGCCTCTTGGAAAACCATTTTCCTCTACAAACAGAGGGGTTTTCCATTTTCCATGGTGATTCCAACAAGGGTATCTGGGTTTCTGACACTCTCACAAACCAAAAAAATCACACGCAAAACCTGGACCATCACCGGGCTGCTCCGTCGCAGCAGCTCTGGGTCTGCGCGATAGAGATATCCGCTGCTGAGAAGAAGGACTAAGAGGGCTGCCCACAGGGCCTTGGGAAGCGAAGTCTAAGGGTTCCAGAAAAAACACTCCACGCTGGGGTGTGCTAAAGGGAAGACCCCCAACAGATTGGGTTTCGGTTTATTTCCCTTGTTTTCAGGGGGTCGTTGCATGCAGAAAACTACCGCCAAGTTACCGTTATGTATTTTTTGGGTGTAAAATAGGTTATAATGTGGTGCAAAATAGTCTAAGTTCACTGGTGTTTATGCAATCTTATATTTTAGCTGTAACTAAGTTGCGTTTGTTTAATCAAATTTAAAGGTAAGTACGTTAGTTCCAAATAGCAGAAATAAAATATACAAATTAGCGACATTAACATTTTCATGTTTTGACATGTTTTGCAAGAACCTGCAGAAATGAAGGCGCGATGTCAAAATCAACAATTTTATGTTTCGGGGTGATGGTGGTCCACCTTCTTGCCATGCAGGTGGTGGTCCATCTTTTGACCTCTTGGTGGTCGTCCACCTTTTTTAATCTTTACTCCAGTGATCCTCATACGACTCGCTGATGTCTGACTGAACTAGTAGCTGTCACTGAAGTGTGTGTACTTCAATGTACTTGGAGGCAAGAAAACTTAGATACACAAATTCTGGGCACAGGAACCCTTCGTTAACAGCTTAACTAAATTGAAAATAGATCTAAAGATTCCGTTTGTTCGAAGAAACCCTGCTTTGCTATGGCACTCGGCCAGCAGACTCACATGTGTTCAGGTTGCGTTCACATTCATAGCCTTTAGCAAACACACTTTGAACATATATGTATTCAGTTTAAAGGGCAGCAATAGCAGAGCAATAGAAAAGTAACTATATTTTCCCGAGGGCTCCAGTTATTCCCGAGAGCGTCTGCGAAGGGTTCTTCGTAAAAAAACATCTGCAGAACTACGTCTCATCTACATCTTCACATCTTCACCTCCGCACATACACATTCCCTATATCTCTGCTCATCTTCACATCTACATTCACGACTGCACATCTACATCTCTGCTCATCTTCACATCCTCACATCTACATCTCTCACATCTTTACCTCTCATCTATACATCTCACATCTTCACCTCTCGCTCTTCTTAACTTTCTCTCTTAAGGCCGGGGGCAGTGCCGTCGGACCGCCACGAAACGCAACCCTCTGCGGAGATCGTGCGTGTCGAGCGCACGAAACGCAGGCGAGAGTGCGATTTGTCCCGGTCCGTCGCAACCCTCTGCGGAGATGGCGCGTGTCGAGCGCACGAAATGCAGGCGAGAGTGCGATTTGGTTTTGTCGCGGGCAGCCCTCTGCGGAGATCGTGCGTGTCGAGCGCGCGAAATGCAGGCGAGA